TGAAGTCCAGAAAAGAGTCCCTTGGGCTTTTGTAGGCTTTGGATGCAACTTACAGTGTATGATATACGTAGAAGTAAAAATCCTAAATTGCTTTCATGAAATTTGATACATTGAGGTGAGTGATTGTGGTGATGTGGTATCTGCAAACCAGACATCTTGGCCCCGTGATCCCAAAGGCTGAATTCCTCTAGTAGAAGCTATTTTATCTCCCGTGAGGACAGTGCTATGCATTCACTCGCATGCAAGTAAGGATGGGCTATGCCCCTCTTAACTGTGGCACACAACCTTTCCCTCCTTAACGGCTTTACAAAGTGCTTTGCAAGTTGTGCAGAGGTCTCCTGGCTTTCACGTAGCCCTTTGGGCTGATGCTGGCTGCCCCAATGCCTCTTACTCTGCCGAGAAATTGCTCTGCTTGGCTCGTTTGGGTTAGTTATTCCATTCCCCTCAGCACAGTGCCTGCAGCAAGGCTGGGTGTCATCGGCTTTGTGCTAGCACCCTTTGCCATGTCACATGGAGTATGAGATATGTAGAAGGGAAACAGTAAATGTAAAGGGAAATGTAAAGGTTTTACCTAAATCTTAATTTCCCATACATGGTTTATAGCTTAAAAAATGGAATGAGATTGCCACTCCTTTTATTGGGTGTTAAAGTGCATTAACAAAACTGAGATTTTTATCAGAAATCCACTAGTGATTAGAAAACATGAATCTTAAACTACAGCTGGGCACAGAGTAGGCAGGGTCGTGAACAAATACATTCAGGCATTTTTCCCCCCAAAGTTTTAGCTTATGTTTTACTTGTAAGACTTTTTCCTGTTGTCCCATCATGATCCGCAGTGTAAGATGATTTATCCTTAGCTGTGTTTGCAACACATCCAAGTTGAATGCCACCTACAGATGTCATTAGGGGCTATTTACTGTCTTTCAGGTCATTCATTGTGAATCATAGAAGCATAGAATCGTTTCGGTTGGAAAAGACCTTTAAGATCATCAAGTCCAACCGTTAACCTAACACTGCCATGCCACTACTAAACCATGTCCCTAACCAAGTTAAGTAAGACCAGAGTCCAGAAGTTAAGTAAGACCAGTTAGATAAGACAGAGGCTCATGATATCTTCTGAGTCCCCCACATTGTCACTAGCATTTGTTTACAGTTTGGGCCAGTTGTCAGCAGTAACGTTGGCATCAGGGAAGCATGGCCTGGCCCTATATTTTATAGCCTTGATTTGTGTTTGTCTTCTGTAATTGTAATGTGCTTTTATGGCCATTTAAGCACAGAAACCCAATGCTCAGCAACAATTTCCAGTTCAAGCAGGTCTTTGTAAGAGATAAATAGGCAACAAATTAAGTAATGGTGCTGTTCGTTTCTCTTTGATTAGTGAGAACTCAAAATACGTTTTGCCCTGAAGGTGGTGTCTACAAGCATGGATTCCTCATCAAATCACCACCTCTTCAACTTTTTGGCTCACAGGTATACTAGCACAGTTTAGTCATATTCCAGCAATCCCTCAACAAGCGTCTGTTATTTCTGCTATCCTGAATTTTAATGAGAGACAAATTACTTTCTCTTCGGCAGAATTCCTGGAAAAGGCGTTTTTTCATCCTGTCCAAATCCAGCAAGGGCAATTACATCCTGAAGTATCTAAAAGGCCAGACCATAAAAGGCTCCATAGCTGTTGATCAGTATGTAACTCAAATTCATAACCTTCTTATTTTAAGTCATGTATCAACACACTTAAATGGCCGCTGATTGTACAGACACTTATTCATTCTTCTTTCCAGAAAAGAGTCCCTTGGGCTTTTGTAGGCTTTGGATGCAACTTACAGTGTATGATATACGTAGAAGTAAAAATCCTAAATTGCTTTCATGAAATTTGATACATTGAGGTGAGTGATTGTGGTGATGTGGTATCTGCAAACCAGACATCTTGGCCCCGTGATCCCAAAGGCTGAATTCCTCTAGTAGAAGCTATTTTATCTCCCGTGAGGACAGTGCTATGCATTCACTCGCATGCAAGTAAGGATGGGCTATGCCCCTCTTAACTGTGGCACACAACCTTTCCCTCCTTAACGGCTTTACAAAGTGCTTTGCAAGTTGTGCAGAGGTCTCCTGGCTTTCACGTAGCCCTTTGGGCTGATGCTGGCTGCCCCAATGCCTCTTACTCTGCCGAGAAATTGCTCTGCTTGGCTCGTTTGGGTTAGTTATTCCATTCCCCTCAGCACAGTGCCTGCAGCAAGGCTGGGTGTCATCGGCTTTGTGCTAGCACCCTTTGCCATGTCACATGGAGTATGAGATATGTAGAAGGGAAACAGTAAATGTAAAGGGAAATGTAAAGGTTTTACCTAGAGCTTAATACTCCAGGCTCCTGGAATTGTTGGGCATGGAGTTTGCTGGACTCACATTGCTGTTGTGCTTCTTCTGTTAAAAGGATTTACATTGTGAAGCTTTTGAAAAAATTCCAGCTTGCTTACATTGTACCATCATTACTGTTGTTACTATTTTTACCAATTTAACTTCTTGGAAGTTAATGGAAGTAGTGCTTCCATTTAAGTCTCCATTAAGAATATTTCTTGTCTGTTCCTCTTCCCCTCCATTAAAACCCTGTTAATATACAATTAGTTTCAAATCAAATGTATTGTTCTGTCATGGTTCAAAAACATCTGCCAGGAATTTTTCCTACTATCATTTCTTTTCAGGATTCTGTGTTAAACCAACAGCCCCTTTTTTCAGAAATGAGGATCCAAAATCTAGACACGAAACTTTGCAAGGGTTGATTTTTTTTTTTTTTTTTTTTTGCTTGGAAGTTTTCTTCATTGAAAGGCCATATGTTTTGAATGTGTCTGCTTATTTTCTTGAGAATTTTTTCTGTGGAAAAATGCTTACCTTATCCCATGCAGATCTCATCACATTATGTTGTCCTTAAGAGTAAAATACACACATACACACGTGTATGTATGTTTGTATATATGTATGCATAATTACACAGGATGTTTCATGTGGTTATCTTAACAGAATCATAAATATCAAAGTTGGCATAAGCAATTCTGAAACTATGGAAACGGTGAGGAAGATGTTTAAATGCCTTCCTGAGCAGGTGATGTCCATCAGTACTGGAAACAGATGTTACTACCTCATTGGGAGCAGCAGGTAGGCATAGAAAGATGTGCAAATGCAATATTTCATCACGGTTAAGCTAATGTAACACCAGGCCGCTGCCCCGAGGCAAGCTCCTACTCCTTCACAGCTGCTCCCATCCATTCCTGTGTCTTAGCTACTGATGCCGCAGCTCCAGGATGAAACAATTCAGCTGGTTGATCCAGTGGAAAGCTGCTCTTTTGTAGGGCAGTTTCCTCCCCTCCCTGTGGCCAGGTTAATATTTTGGTGGTTCAGACAGGTGAGCTAACCTTCCCCTCCAGCCACACTGGTGCAACGTCCAACACGTACAAGTAGTGGGAGCGCGCAGCTGGGAGCGGGGGCGCCAGCAGCGGTACCTCAGCGCGGCGGGGGCGTATCAAAGGGTCAGGGTCAGGGGGGAGCAGAGAGCTTTGTCTTCTCACCCAGTGGCTCCTGGGAGTTAGGAAAGCTTCAGCTCCTTATGGATAAATCACAGGAAATAATCTTGCCCTGGAAAGTAGGTTGTTAATCAAGGGAAGAAGATTGAAAGGGAAAATTCCCCTGAGGGAAAAAGGATCCCGAAAGGAATAACTGGGGCCTTTACTGCAGCAGGGTGGCGTGCTCCCTGCTCTGCCGGGCTGCAATCCAGCCCTCAGCAAGGGCAGAGGCTGCTGCTGTGGAGGCGATCAGCCGGAGCTCGGTCAGGTGAGGGAGGGCGTTTGGCACAGCGCTCCTCTGCTGCTGCTTCCCAGCTTTGCCTCTGCAGTTTCCCAGCCACCGGCCTGTCGGGGGTTTTCCTGCCCGTATGCGGAAGAGCAGCTGATGTGTGAAATGCCGATAAGCGCAGAAGAAAAACACATACCTGTGTGTTACTTGAGCGTGCCACCCCGTGCCTTCCCCCGGGGCACTGCTCTCACAGCCCATGGTGGGAGGCGTTCCAGAATTAATCCAACTAAATCCACCACAGGCATGAAACAGAGCTTCAGGAGTCTTTTCATGGCAAGTTTCTCGTCCTGCTTGCCCAAACGCATTCCCAAGCCTTGCTAGCTGTCTTTATGACAGGACTCGGCAGAGCAGCGTTACAGACAGAAAAGGAAGCAGAAAGCACTGTTCCACCTCTCCGTCTCTCTCCATCCCCATGTCTCTTGCACGTGCACATACAGCCCCCCCACCCCTGCATAGTTTTTAGCTCTCCGAGGCCAAACTTCACCATCTGGCTATGGCCACCCGAGCACTCTCTTGAAAGGAAGGTGCAGGTTTTCCCCATTGATGTCAGGAAGTGTTGTTTTGGGCCCCATCGGAAGAAGTGGGTAGGAAAATGGGTTTTCCTTGTGTTTTACCTGTGAGTAGGTTTTAATTTCCATTGTTCCAACCTACAGGCAGGAAACAGAGGACTGGGTCGCTGTGATATCTTCGATCTGCAAGGAGGCCAAAGGAGGGGGATGCTGCCCTCAGGTGACACGTTACTGCACTTGATTTTACAAAGAAATAAGTCTGTCATTTTATTACAAACCTGTGCAAAGGAATTTTCCTGATTTTGGCCTTGCAAGTTGGCTCTCACCTTGGTTAATTGGAAATTCATTTTCCGTATAAATCCTGTACTCTGGCTGTATGCGTTAAGCAGGCATCACACAGTCTGTCTGCGCTGGGATTGATTTTACACTGAAGGAATCTCTTTGAAGAGTAAGCCACATGGAAATTAGGAGATGATTGACGTTATGCTGCAATGAATTGCACCTTTGATGCATGAGAATGAAAACTCATGTGTTATTCTTACCGTGTGCTTTTTGTTTGTATTTACATGCTGTTTTACAAACTGATCCACATCTAGTCTGTCAACATAGGAGCAGCTGGAAGCTCTGTTAGTTCAAGCTGAGGCCCAAGTTTCTGCACTTTGTCAGCCAGCCAGGTCTACTAGTTCAGACTTAGCACTAAGCTACTTACATTCCTACAGCTTCCACTCAGCTCAAAGTGCAAGCAGGGCAAATTTATATCTGCCTGGAAAATGCTATGTAGAGAAACTCCCTCAGCCATTAGAAGTCAAGTTTAGACCAGTGGCATGCGTTGGTACATTGTAGTCCATGCCCATCAGGTGCTTGTCTTCTCACACTGCTGTCATCTTCTTTCTAGAACCGAGATCTTCCAGATCCAGAAGTCAGAAGCCGTCCCTCGTCTTTGCCACTACTCTTGAATTCTGTAGATACAATCAGTTTTGCAAAAAGGCAAAGCTACCAGAAGGTAAACAGATTAGCTATCCTTGATAATGAGCTTGCTGCTAGGAGGGACTATGAAATTTGGTATTTATAGTTGCTTTTTTCCATCAAAAGTTCTTCAGAGCTTGTGCAATGGGTGCTCAGGTGGTCTGTTCTGCTCTCTGGTGGGGTTCCTGAGTAGGACCTGGATGATAACATCAGAGAGTCCTCACAAAGGAAAGACTTTTGAGGAAAGTCTGGAGATGGTGATGGGAATGAGAAACCATATTCATTGGCTGTCTCAACTGACTGGCAAAGATTAGTGGGCATAAAATAAGCCCCTGCAGATTTGCTTTGACATGCCTTGGCTCATGTGATGAGTGTTTTGACAGCTGCCTCCCACATTCCTCCCATTTTGTGATTGTGCTTTTCTTTGTCTCTCTCTTCAGGCTGTAAAGCCTAGAGGGGAGTTCAGGTCCAGTTCCTCTGTGCCTTCCAGATCTTCCCCCTCAATTTTTAAACAGAAAGTAAGGAAAGCCTTCCTGCTGTCCCACAGCAATTGCAGTCCCCATCCTCTAGTGACAGGCTTGAATAGCAGCCAAGGGAGTGTTGGTGTTCTCTAGTCACCAAGTTGTGTGCAAATGGCCCAGCTGGAGGAAACTGAATGCAGGTGCACCTTTAGGAGAAGTCAACTTTTTTTCTTTTGTACACAGGAGAATGGTCCCTCAGAAGACAAGAACAGGCCTAATTCAGATCCTGGCCCTCATCAGGCTCAGTGTGACTCACCAAGAGGAGTTTTTCCAAGCCTGGTAAACAGAACTAATCAAACGGCTCTTGACTCACCTGAGTATCTCTAACTATAGATTATTCATCTACTTCCCCAGGACACTGAGTTGGTTTTCACTATGAAAGTATCCTAAATATAATTAGACTGTTCTCTTGTTTAGCACTGAAAATAACCTTCTGAGACCTTTCTTGAAATACCCGTTGGTTTACTTTGTTTCTTAGAGGCGGGTCCTCAGAGTTTCTGGGCAGCAATTGCAACTTGTGGCAGCTCTCACAAAGTTGATCAAGAGAACCCTGAAGTTGCACTGCCTGAGGATTTGCTCCTCCCATCACATTTCTCAGCTGTGCCACAATCTTCCTAAATGGTTTCTTCCTGCAGCCTCTGCCAGTAGCAATTCAATCAATGTAATTGAGATACAGAACCAGGGCTTGTCAAATTGAGGCGCACCTCAGGACTGACCTTCTGTAAGCATAAATACAACAAGTAATTCAGCTTCCATACCTGGCAGGAATGATTTAAAAAGGTACAATGATGAATGTTACCACATATTATTGGCTAAGTGTCCTGACCTGTGTTCCCTGAACAAACACCTGCAGCAGTTTCAGATGGTTTTCACCCATCCTCTGCCCTGGATGGCTGCCTTTGCAGCAGAGTCAACAGAAAAGGCGGCGCAACCAAGGCTTCGCCACACCAGTATGCAGTTTGGCAGCTGAGTTTAAACCCATCTTTATTAGTAGTTTATGCATTGGACTACGATCTAGAGTAGCTGAGATACAGGGAAAAGAATCTGTGCTGCTACCATAGCTGTCAGGGTGGTAAATCACACGCTGCAGTCACCATCCATGCATACAGCCTGGCAGCAAGCATGAGATAATACAGCTAAATTTAGTGGAAAGTAGTGAAAATAGTTGAAACTACATTGCCATGCCATGGTGCACAGCGCTGTGTGAAGCTGCAATACTTCAACTGTGCATCTGAGCTCTGAAATGCATTGAGTTAACCCTCAGTCTGATTTAACCGGCGCTGCTCCGGATGCAGACCAAGGCACCCTTTCTGTCTCTTTCTTACGCATGCCTTTTCTGTCTCGTTCATTAATTCTTCTCATACCTACAGTGCCTCAGAGATCACATACTGTATGCAGCTGTTTGAACTAGGGGGTTAAAAGATAAGGAATTTGGATTTTACCTTTTTAGCCTGAAGCAGAGGGAATAGTAGGAAGCTCATATTTCTGTTTCAGCACTTGTGAAAATAACTAACCTTGCCATAGAGCTAACATGAAACAAAATTGTTTGTTCATTCAGTAAAAATATTTCACTTGCCTCATAAGTTCAGCATCTGCTAACATCTCTGGATCTATTCTCTGCTCGGTGATGTCTAGACAGCTGAATTCCAGATTAATCCTTTGTGTTTACGTCCTGTTAGAAGTATGACTCCACATTTCTAGTATCATCTGATTTATTTGGCTTTTTATTGGTGGTTCCTCACCTAGGACCAGATCTTGAAAACTCTTTGGTCAGTAGCCGTGACTCATGCAAACAGGGCTATCAACGTCAGTTGAATCCAGTCACGTGGGCAGGAACCCAGCCACCCAGGAGAGGTTTGGGGACCTGACTCCCTTTCAATCCACATTTTGGAGCTATCAAATCACATCTGACTCAGTGATTCAGTATCAGCTGTTTCGACACACATCTTTCAATACCTGAAATCCATCAGAATAAGAAGCCCTGACATGTATCACCCTGTGCTGCTCATTACTGTATTGCAGGCACCCGGGTGTCTTTGTCAGCAGTCCAGCTTCAGTATCTGTTAGTCACGCCTGATTTTTTGAAAGAGAAGTTCCTCTGTCCAAGGACAACGCGTAACTTTTGGCCCTTTCCGTAAGGAGCCTAAAACTAACAATTCCTCAGTTGTCCCTCAGGTATTATTTCCGTCTTGTGCTGCAGCAAATTTTCTCCATCATCTCCTTCTCTCTCGTGTAAATCCACACCATGGTTCAACAGAAAGAGCTGAAAGAACTCGCTTAGCTGTACGTCTGAGAACGATTGTACGCCGAGGTCAACTGCACTGCTCCGGTTGTAAAGCACCAGGAGGAGCGGAGATGTCGGCAAACTGCTTTAGGGAGAGGCAGCATTGCTGCAGCTTTACCTTCTCCTTCCCACTGTCCCAATAATCTGCCATGGTGCCAAGGGGAAATGCTGTGTTTGGCAAAAGGTAGCCACTGTCAGTGATCGAAGGCTCAGTTTGGGAAGCCGATGCATGCTGTCTGCTCTCTGCAACTTTCTGGGAGCTGGAGGATCTCAAGACTTCATAGAATCACCTCCTCTTCCCCCTTTTCCCCAAGTGCTTACTCGTTTGATTGATCCAAAGCCCCTGAAAAGTCACTGGGAAACTCGTTCATGACTTTATTTCATGACCATAGAGCCAGTCTTGTTCCTGCTGGGGTTTTGTTATGCACTTCTTGAAGGACTGTTTGTAGGTTTGTTCTGACTCCTCCAGCATATGCTTTTTATGTCATTTATACCACCAAGGAACAAAAAATACATTCATCAACTTTAATTTCTATTCAGTGCCAGTTTCTTCTCTTTACATGTAAGAGAGTAATTAGTCTAATTTGCTTCACCTTGAAAACAGTAATATGTTCTGTGGCATATTTAGCAATTATTAAAATTATCACCATGGAAACCAAGGATGTAAGTGGAGAGATAAAAAACGGTTGCATCACAAACATGGCATGGGGAATTGTACTGGGAGGCAGCTAAATACTAATTACCATGCTCTTCATTCTAGTGAAGTCAACAAGGAAACTTAGAAATAAATAATTTATCTTTGTGACTTAAAAAGGTAAACTTGGTGGAGGGATTAATTTCTCCTTGACTTACCAAATTGCTGCAGACTTAGTATTTCAGGTATTTATGAAGGCAGAATATCACTCAGGATGCAAAGGATTCAATGTCAGATCTCCAGCCCCCTGGGGTATGTTCTAGGTCATGGAGAAGTATGAATTGGGGATTTCCCTGACTAATGAGAAGTGCATTAACATGAGTCAATCCCCAATTGATTCTTTACCTGATAGCAGTTAAAAGGTGCTTAAAAAGGACAAACATCTCCAGATCCATACTAATATTAGTGGCCAGCTTTGTCCGTGTATGGTGGATCTCAGAAATATAAGTAAGAGCATAACTACAGAAACCTTGTTCCTAAAACAGACTGGGTCTGAGCATGTCTGTCTTCAAGGAGAAACCCCTCTTCCCATGTTTTCTGTGGATATTTTCTGGTTCTATTACTTCTCCATGTAAATGGAAAAATACATGTTAAGCAATCTAAAATACAGATGAAGACATCAAAGAGGACGAAGAAGACGACTATTACCAAACTCCCAGCAATATTTTAGCAAAGGTAGTTTATCAGTCGTGAGTTCTGCTGGTCTGGTAATAGCTCCAAGGAGACAGGAGACATTTAATGAGCCAAAGAGGAACTGGTATAAGGAACCACTAGTACCGTGCAAAAGAAATAGGTAGATAAAGCAGTAGGTAGTAGAGCTTTCATTTGTACAAGAAAAAATACACTAGACTCATCCAAAAGATCTTTCTGGTAGAAAGTGGCATTTTGACAAAAACATTGCTGATTTTGTTGAAATTCCTCAAATTGACTGTTTCATTGTAAATGGTTTTTGCCTATTGTATCACAGGTTTGTTTTGGTTTTTTCAAAAGTGAAAATTTCATTTAGAAAATGTAGTCATATATTATTTTTATATATTTTAAAACGTAATTCTGTAGAAGCATCAGTAAGCTGTATAAAACAAAGCAGTACTTTAAAAACGCTGTGAAACATTTTGGTATCTACATTTCACTGTGAAACAAGGGAGTGGGAGGAATCATACTGCTAATTTTAAACAAATTTTGTCACCTAATTTGGGAGGCTAATTTCTCTAGGCTTCCCCTGTAGTTAGTGGTCAGGAGAAGCTAAGTGGTCAGTCTTCTGCAGAAGTCACAGCGTCTCTCCAAAGACTAACTGAAGGGCATTAACAGTGTGATTTTGTCATATAATCTAAGTGCTTTAAGTTAAGCACACCCAAAGTACAAGACTCTTTTTTCAACCTGCTTAAATTAAAACATAACAAAGTTTTTGTGGTAGCACTTTAAAATACAGCTGGTTATGTCCCAGCCTGAAAGGAAAGCAAATGGCAGCATCAGTAACACCAGATAACATTAACCTCTGAGTTTCAACCACCTTTCTAGCTCGTGGTTTCTGAGAAGTGACTTGTTTGGAGAAAGCCAGGCTATATTAGCCAATGTATTTAAAAAGCTGAGTGCTGAACATAATAAGGAAATTAATAAGATTTTTTTCTGTAGGCGGAGCACGGATATTTACGTCTTACGTTGCTATGTCTTTCCAACAGTGCACTACTGAAGTATCCAAGCCTGACCCTACAGCTAAGTCTGATGTCTCTGTGCAAGAGAAGCCAGTGCAGGAGAAGCCAGTAAAAGAGGACATTTATATGTCAATGAAATCGCTGTAAGTAACAATTTAATTAATGTTTTGCAAATTAAAAGTGATGTAGTGGTAAAGATAGAGCTGTCATTTGTGGTATTTACATAACAATATCCAGAGGCTGCATCTTGTTTGAATGAGTCCTTCTTTGGTCATGGTTCAGAAAGTTCAGAACTCGTGGGATACTAGACTGAAATTCAAACTCATCAACGTGAAATTTAAACTCACATTGCAAACTCGTGCATTTAGACAGGCTCTGACTATAGGATGCAGCACTTTTTGTTGACTCATACTTTTTCTAGGATTTCATGACATAACTTTACTCAGATCCCACAGCCAAGCTCCAGCAACCTTTCAGACAGGTACCATCCAAAGCAGGCAGCATTATCTAGTGGTTAAAAGAGAAAGGTAGACATGGGGTGTTAGCTCCCAGCTTTTCCAGTAAGAAGTTATGTGATCCTGAGTAGGTCATCTCCTTCCTTCCATTTTCCCACGCAAAGAAGAGGTCTGTTGCTGTGTACTTTGAAGCTACAGTGTTTGGCATGTTACAAAGAAAGACCTGAACTTTGTGTCACAGTTGTAGTTGTAAAGGAAACTTTACAATCTCCACAACGTAGCCCAGCATACCGAAGAGAAGTGTGCCTAGATAGTAAAACCATACCTCCTGAGCTGTTAGGTCAGGCCTGCCACCAACAGGCAGTCAAGTCTTATGCCACATCGTGGGAGGCAATTGGAAATGCAGACCCACAAACCAGTTTATTCCAATAGACTTACTCAAACTCATCTGTGTCTTTGAGAACCCCTGGAGGGAATTACTGTAGGAACCTTACAAGCCTGTGCTGTCTGAGTTAAAATATACCAAGAGCAGCTTTTGCTACTAACCCCAGTCTTGTTTGGGGTGTGGAGGGGAGTTGGCTCGAGGCATTATAAGTCTCATCAAATAAACCTAAAAAGTGTTCAAGCACATCTGCGTTATTGTGTCTCCCAGGAGACAGCATTACACCCCTGCAGGAGCCAGTACAGCCAAGGCCAACAATCTGTACTTGGTTTCTTTGTCAAGGCATGTTGTTAGCTGGAATGTTTTCAGGCTTAATAAACAGTCTTTAAATACTGAAAAGGTTTATTTGGGGATTTATGGTCTGTTTTTAGAAGGAGTTTATTTTACTTAGCTGTAATTCTGTCCACTGGATATTCTACAAGAACTTGTTATTCTTTGCTTCACTGATGGCTATTTGATCCAGTTTCAAACACAGCAAGAGTACCTGGAATGGCCAAACCAGTTCATTTTTTATCACCATTCCTCTTCAGTAGGTTGCTGGATGAGAGCTGCCAGCTCACGTGCAGACATGATGGGCTCCTGTCTCCTCCCAAATGCCAAGACAACGGTGCATGTCCAAGAGACTTGGAAGCAAACAGAGACCTAAAACTCCCAGAGAGCAGCACAAGCCAGCAGCCAACCCTTCAGAGAAGGCAAAATTCGTTACCACTTTCAGTCGTTCAGTTGTCTATACTGCTCGGGTAAGTGTCTTCTCCATTTTCATGGAGATTTCCTGGGGATTTCAGTTGAGGTACTGGTAAAGTGTGCCTGGTCTCTGATGTTTTCTCTCACAGTCAAGTTACAGATGAGACCCAGCTGGAGAAGCTGGATATTTTTGTCCCCCTGGATGATATTAAAAGTTACCTAAAACTTACTGAAGCAGCAGGACAAATATGGTAAGTTCTGGATGTGTCGTGATGGTGCCTGTCAGATGTGAATGAGAGACAATCAGTGTAGGTGCAGAAGTGTACCCCCATCCACACCCATGCACGGCTTTGGCCATGCACAACAGGGCAAGGCCAGTGTGTGCTGGTACTTCAGTGATTCCTTTCTGCTCTCTTTGACTCTTCATGTACTTGAGTTTCTATTTCAACTGCTGTTGAAAAGGGCTGGATAGAATCAAGATCCCTTAGCATGCTGTGTAACAATTAGTGATGAAGCTAATGTTGGTGTGACATCAGCTAATTACTGCTAGTTGGTTTTACCTTTGATTTGGTGAACCACGACGATGGCATGTCTCAGAGATATAGTGAGGGTGATATCTTGTGTTAGGGTAAATGGGGCCTTTCAACCAAAAAGCTTGCAGGCTTTAATCTAGGTGGCTAATAACCCTTTGTTACTGATGATAAAGCCAAAAATTAGGAAGCACATACAAGGGATAGACTTCAAGTCCCATTTTTTTGGTTTCTGTACCCCCTTATGTACCCTTAAGTCTTATGAAGAAAAAGGGGATTTGTGGAAAGAGACGACAGTCCTTTGGAGAGCCATAAAACCTGTCTGTCTCTGGAAAGGATGACAACATGGAACCTATGGGCACAGAGGGAACCACTTCCAAACCTAGTAAATTCAGTGATTCACTCTCTTTCATCAAATCCTTCCTTATCTTTTTCCCCCTTTAACCTATTAACATATGTCCCTCATATCATTCACCTACATCATGTCATTTTGTAATTTAATTAGTAGCACCTGCAAAGCATTCTGAGACTCTCTAGTTAAGTGTGAGCTGTAGGTGAAAACTTAAATTATATAACATAAATCAAGCTGACCTGAGCTGGGTGCCAGCATAAAATGCCAGACAGCAATTTTCACAAGCAGGTGTTATGGGCCAGAGCACATACATCTTCTTAGCAGTCCCACTGGAAATTAGTGATCTCCCTAGACCTTCACTATCAATGTCTAGGATAAAGAAGAGGGAGCAGAAAAAACATTCAACGTGTGTGCTCCTGTGCTACCTGTTGATCTCTCACTGCCACGCGGCGCTGAGACTGCCTTTTGCTGTTGCTGCCATATTCACACTGTGCGCACAGCAAGACGCTTTGGTTCAGCCACTGTCAGCAAGAAGAAAAAATACCAGTGTAAAAGGGACTGGAAATGGGACCCCATCTCAATAGTTGTATCTACATCTAAATTTACAGAGCTTTCTGAGCGGAAATTCATACTGAAAGAATTTGGAACAGAGCACTAGGTCTGACTGTCAGGTCAGATAACTCTAAATAGCTTGTCATCGAGGAGAGACTATCAAGAGATGAGCTACTGGAATTTCCATAACAGTCCCATCAGGACAGCGATGGATCTCTGATCCTTGCAGTTATATCTTAGATAAAACATGTGATAGTAAGTTTTAATTCCATTCTTTTGGGATGACTTTGGAAATCATCTCAGTCAAACATAGGGCTAAAATATCTGCAGCAGCATACATGTACCTGCAGTGAGCCTGGCCGAGTGTTTTTGAACTGGAATCCCCACCTCTCACTGGTGACCTTGCTAGCACCAGTCCCACTTGTCAACAGGCTGCAATGTCAGTGCCGCGTGCACTTTTAGGAGGACCCATTGGGGTGGATGAAGCAGCTTGGTGGCAGCTAGAACCAGATGAAAAAGTTGCATAGTCATTCAGCCTGTGTGTTATTTCCAAAGGGCAGTAGCATAAATGCAGTCCTGCTCAGCCATTGCCACTCTGTTAGCAGTAACTGGGTACCCCATATGGTTCCTTTACTGTCTGTCCTCCAAACACCCTAGTGTCTCACAGTGGACTGGTCCTTGCCGACTGGGATGTTTGTTTAACCACGGAGACCATATAGTGGCTGTGAACGATCTGCAACCCCAGGACGTGCAGGAAGCTTACTTCTTCATCAGCAGGTCCACAAGAAAGGAGGTAAGCTTGACTAACCTGAAGGTGATAGTCAAATGAATCAAGCCAAATGAGAAAGCAAGTTGCCTTATGTGTTTCAGGTGGCTTCAGTCAAACCAGTTTACTCTGGTTTGAGTTTGGCATGAATAACTTCAGTACCAAATAGCTCCTCAGCATCATTCTGATGTAACAGCTCTTATTCGTGGGCTATTTGGAGAATGCAAGGTCAGCACTGCTGTGTTTAAGGACTTGATCTCAAAGAGTCTGAGCAACCCCAAGACATACTACTGGGCAACCATGAATTAGAGTTACTTGGTACTTTTTGGGCGAGGCACATGAATTGCAAGCTTTGGGAAACAAACAACTCCCTTCAGCAGACATGTAGCTGCCTATAGTGGTTTTAAGTACTAAGGGCAGAGCCCTAGACACCTACCTCCTATTGGTTATCAAGCACTACACACCTTGTCTGATTCCACTTCTTTTGAAGAATGCGGGAGATTTCTAGGTGTTGCCTTAACACCACTGCGATCCACTACATGTCGATACCTGTGTTTCTCTCAGACAGACTCATATTTCTGTATTCAGGTTCTCTGACCCAAACCTGAACACATTCATATTTCAGTTTCGCTGAGAAAGTTGAGATTATCAAATGCTGTTGCCATCTAAAGAAAAAAAAGGCAGTCTTGGCAAGAAAAAAAATCTCATCTCCCTTAACAGGGTATTTTTGTTTAGCTAGTTAAAATAGAAGTCAGATAGCAGCACAAATGTTGATCAGATATAACAAGCTATAACATTTCTCTTTTTTTTTTTTTTTTTTTTTAAGGTGAAACTTACTGTACGTAGGATTCCACATTCAGATATCTTCCATGTTAAAGGCTGCTCATGTTCCTGAGAAAAGACCTCAATGATCAAGTAAGTGCCAAAGTTCAAGGGAAAAGATCAGGGAGAAGAATGTGATACCTAGTGCGTGGAGGTGATCTTTATCTTCTAGAGCTGCCAGACATCTTTTCTTGCTGAAGTACAAAGAATAGAGAAGGTGGATTTCATTTTCATTTTATGTCCTAATAACTTGTTTTATTGTCATGAGTGGCATGTGTTTGGCTCGTACTTCATGTTGGCATGTATTTTAGTTACATGAAAAACACCGAGGGTTGAATCATTTATGAAACCTTTGCACTGTGTCTACTTCGTACTTCAGTAGAAAGTGCTGTTTCACAGCTCTGCTCGCCTCTTTACACTCTGTTACGTGGATTTATACTGAACTCCTAACCAGTTAGGAACAACCTGCATTTGGAGCAAAGACATGTTTTCCCCTGTTTCCCCTTAGCAAAGGCCAGCTGACAGCTCTAGGGTTGGAAGGAAGGCTGGTAAATAAAGTGTTGTGTAGTGATTCAGCGGGGCCTCCTTTTGTGTTATGCCCCTCTTATGTTACAGCCACAAAAATACAGTCAAGGAATGACAGGAAAAAGCTGGTTGGAGAAAAGGAATGAGTCTGGAGCACCTTTGGGTTCATTGGCAGCCAAAATAAGCCCTAAGTGAAGAATGAAAGAATGGATTTCGGAGAGAGGAGGGCCAGCCTGCTCTGTCAAAGTGTTACTGGTAAAGACAGCTGGGAAAACCAGAGAGAGAAATGATGTATACAAAGCCCAAGGCAAACAGAGTTCACTGAAAGGGTTTTGATGCTACCAGTTCCTAACACAGGGATGTCACTGGTACCCCAGCATTTCCTGAGCAAGTACTCATTTGTCTCCCAAACAAGGACATTTCCTGTAAATATTTATTTGCAAATACGTCTTGCTTCCATTGCTACCACAGAAACATGACTGATTTTCAGCTAATATCACACCAAAAAGGCATTGGTGCTTGGTATGGAAGTGCCTGCAGGGGTGCCTTCAGTGGATGCCAAAAGAGAGCTTTGCCCTGTACTGCAGGGACCTCTGTTGCCTACAGAAGCATGGTGAGATCTGGCGTGTGTGCAGAGCACATGCCTGTGCCCTGTGTGGATACGCACGTGTTCGTATATATGTGTTCGTGGGGGGGTGTATTTACATACATATATATTGCTGTAAGATAAACTGTATTAAATACGTTGTATTAAATACAGTGATGCGGCAACAAACCCAATCACTGGTTTTGAGTACAGATAATTATATCTTGCCAGATACAACCAAAATAACTACTGGGTTTAGCATGCATAGGATTACTGATATAAAGAGGTTTGTATAAGCTTCAGTTAAGGCGGATTTGGCCCAAAGCAGGTAAGGGTTGTCAGGTTCTGGAACAGGCTGCCCAGGAAGGTGGTCGAGTCCCCATCCCTGGAGGTATTTAAAAGATGGGTATGATCTTAAAGGTCTTTTCCAACCTAGATGATTCTATGATTTGTCCAGCTTCCAGTTGAATTGGGCCAAGTCAGCTACTACAGTAAGAAACTACACTCACTAAAATCAGCATTGGTGCCACTTACTCCAGTAGTAAATTTGACAAACGTGCTTTGTATACTTAATTTAAAATCCAGTCTGGACTTTTTAAAAAGATCGTTATAAAATTTTATTTAGCCAAAGATGAAAACAGCACAGGTAACTCAAACCAAACAAACACAATCTATTGTGCCTACAATCTATTCAGACTCAGCTCCCATTCAAAAGATTAATTTCCCAACTGAATGTTTCCACAGCCTGTCTCTTCTGCTTTTGAGATAAGAGTGTTCGGGACATGCTTATTTCTCGAGGTGGGAAAGGATGACTTTTTGATATTTCTGTTTCAGTGGTGTTCAAAGGCCTGTTTGCACTGAATTCTGCATAAGGACTGAGGGAAACCCCAGTTCTGGAGCTACAGAGGCTGAAAATGGAAGAAAAGACATTCCTTGGGAAATTTCTTTTTAGAAAATGAACCTGATTTTTTCTTGCCCTGTTTTCAGTGAGCTTGATGTCTCCAGAGGAATCTTCATTCTGGAAGGTGTTTTTTCTCCCTGTTCTCTGTTCTCTCTTTTCTTTTAGACCTAACATCCTGCATTCTTTCAACATTTTTTCAAACATTTCCTGAAAGTGGTCACATGCCACTGAACTGCGAGACAAATACCTCGTGTTTCCAGTTACTGGTGAACAAGGGAGGTGAGATACCCGTAAAGCAATTTCCTGGAACTTCATAGAGAAACATTTCCAAAAAGAGGTGAACTTAGCGAGGCAGCTGCGAACCGTACGTGGTGGTGGGAGGGGAGCCACCACCGCAGAGCCTGCACGTGGCATTGCTGCTGAAGCAGACATTGCGCAAGGCACCCTGCGCCTCTCGGCCGCAGAGGAAGAATATAGGACAAAAATAGGATTTGGGTAGAGGGAGCATGCAGAGGATAATTCCAGAATATTTCAGAAAACTGGGGGATTAATTCTGTACGTCAGTAAACAGTTAGTGCTGTGTTACCCCATAACTGTTCACTCTGTCAGTTTGCACAATGATACATGCAGATAATTAATGTCACATACTGGCTGATTCATCACGCTTCCAGAGATACAATATGGAATTGACATCGGGACAGTAAATTCTGGTGGGGTGTGTGAAGTTGGCTGCCCACATATGATTAATAAACATGTTAACACTTTACAACACTTTGTATTCTGCGAATGCCTCACTTTCTCCTGACACAGCCCATCCTCGTCCTCCAAAGGCTACCGTAACTTCCCAACAACCTGCAGCCGAGTCACCAAACAGCCCTTTTAAAAAAAGCTACCCTTAAAAAACAAGGTTGACCTCCTTCTGTAATATTTTTCCCAGTGTGAAAATTTTACCTTGCTTCATATGAGCAAATTCTGCTAAATCTCTGGGCTGCTTCTAGAAGCAACAGCAATGGGAGATGCGTATGTGTATTTATGAAGACAGGCTGAGAGAGTTGGGCTTGTTCAGCCTGGAGAAGAGAAGGCTGCGGGCAGACCTGATTGTGGCCTTTCAGTACCTAAAGGGGGCCCATAGGAAAGATGGGGACAATCTTTTTAGTAGGGCCAGCTGTGACAGGACAAGGGGTAATGGTTTTAAACTAAAACAGGGTAGGTTTAGACTAGATATAAGGAAGAAATTCTTTACAATGAGGGTGGTGAAACACTGGAATGGGTTGCCCAGAGAGGTACTGGAGGCCCCATCCCTGGAAACATTCAAGGTCAGGTTGGACGGGGCTCTGAGCAACCTGATCTGGTTAGCGGTGTCCCTGCTCCTGCAGGGGGGTTGGACTAGATGACCTCTAGGGGTCCTTTCCAGCCCAAAACATTCTATGATTCTATGATTCTATGGTACTACCCACCACTCGCTTTTAGTCCTGGAAGACCCAAAGGGAATGCCTTTAAGCCCATGCTGCCTGAGGGGTAACTGGTAATCTTTTAGATTGCCTATAGGCATTTTAAATGTGCCATGTAAGCACACGCTCTTAAAGAAACAGGTCATATTGTAGATTCTTGTTGCTGCGCGCTCTGTGGTGTCAAAATCTTTTCTTAGCCAGTCTCCGGGTAAGTTTTGGGCCATGGAGGGTTCCTGGCACAGCTGTTTAAACTGACACGAGCTGACATTCAGTGAATCCACAGACTAGCATGTCGATGTAAAACACAGCCAGAAGAAGGCTGCGGATCCTGAAACCTTCTTGCCCTACTGACCCCATGAAGTGACCTGCTGGGAAGCAGGAGCCCGTGCTGGCTGACACGCACACCACTCTGAATCACTCAGCATCTGCAAACTGGGTGCACAAGAGACAAAACCCAACCACTGCAACACAGATGACATGATTAGCTAACGATTAACATGCTCCTCACTAACTGTTTTATTTCCTGTCATTGAATACAGCCAGTGCCTTCAGGTTATTTCCCTGGCTGTTGATTCATGGCACATTCCCATGCTGCGCTCCCTCACTGGTGGCTGATAGTTTTCCTCCTTGAATTCCCAAATATGAATCATGCTCTTTCTGCCACTCTAGTACCCTTCTCCAGCAGGAAAATGGCAATTGTCCAGGAGAAAAAGCAAGTTCCGGAACAGAGAGAAAGTAATGGCAGGAGAGGGCTCCAAATTGGTGTGAGGTCATTGAAGTTAAGAAAAATAAAAAGCCCATTGTACAGCAAGCACAAGCCAGACCACACCGCCCCCGCGCTTCCTCTCGAGAGCAACACTACCGAGAACTGGGGTTGGAGTCATAGCTGGTCAGAGAGAGCCCAAGCCCTGTGGGAGAAGGAGTCCAGCCAGGAAAGGTTGTATCTGTGCTGTGTCCATCCTGAACCGAGCAGGGACAAGTTCTGCTTCGCGCCGCCTCTGGCCGCAATGCAAAGGGCTGGATGTTACTTAGAGTCCCTCCAATCTGGGGTACCCACCAGACATGCTCCAGGGTGGCTGGACTTTCCACAAATGGAGTCAACAGAGGAGCTGCTGCAGTAAAGGAGACCAAGGTCACCTTGTACACTGGGGAGAGAGCGGATCGCTGGGGAGCTGGGGACACCTGGTGCTTAATCTATGCTTTGCCCCAAATTTTCCAGTGACCTCGGGACAGCCATTTCCTTGCACGCACTCAGTAAAATTCAAGTGATTTCAGACACATTTGCATTGTGCCAGCTCTTAAAATGAATGGGATCTCCAGCATCGCATTCAATCCCGTGAATTGCTTTCCCTGCCAGAACACCTGTGGGAAACCCCTCCATCAGACCCATACGCAACAGGCCCCGTGCTATGGAGGGGCACTGATGTCCCATTTAGTGCTAAGGGAGAAGCCATCCTCAGTGCCCTGCAGAAATGTGGCTGACCCTCAGCCACCCTCAGACAGCACCATCGCGAGCGAACATCGGTGATGCTCCCGCTTCCCTGCAGGGAATGGGCTCACCCCAGTTGTGTGCAGCTTTCGGAGAGCAGCACTGAACAGTAGTAGTGTAG